TATTATGTCTGCTCCTTGCGCCATTAATGTTGCGAGTTTTGACGGCGTGAGGCAAAAAAACTTCATCTGGAGTACTGCTATGGGGCCTGGGTTCTGCTCAATGTCTCCGCTTAGCAGTGGCTTTTGCCGTTGCGCCTCGCATACGGCAAACAAAAGGCATGTATAGCGCTGATAAGCGCCGATGGAATTCAGCAGCGGATGGAAATACCGCTCCGCGGGCAGCCATGTACATGGCTCCATCTGGTGCCCTTCCGACCCGTTTGTTCGGCTCCTACTACCTATCCGCGTGCAGCGGATGGGAAGCAGGCGCTTGGCTTCCTCTCTAGCAAAGAGTACTAGACCCTGGCACCACATTGAGGTGGCCGGCTGAGCCAGGGGATGCCTGTATTTCGTTCAATGCTCCTTTATCACGGATATACTTCGTGGGGTCCTTGAAAAACTCCTCCGGCAAGACATCCCGATTGGTGTCCACAATGCCCCTGCCGTCCAGTTCCCTCGTAAGAAAGTCGTTCAGCTTCATTTCATTGACGCGAGCTCTTCCTTTAAACAGTACTTCTTCGATATTAGTGGAAATGGTAAATTCCATTTCTTGCGTTCGTCTTAGCCTTTCCTCTGCCTCCCGCCTCGCTTCTCTCAGTACCTGCGTGAGTACTCCGTTTGGTTTTCCCCTTGCAAGAGGAGTGATTGTATCCTTTTCTTTCACAGCCCCTACGTTGCCCGAGAGAGAACACACCTTCGTGAAGAGGCTTAGTAATGGCCTCCAGCGCTTGGTACGCAGTTAAGTTGAGAATTTCTTCAGGAAGCCGCTGGTCTTGTACGTAATCATCCGGCTCCTGAACAAACATCTCCATCGTCAGATTGTATTCTTTCATCAACGGCCGCCCTGCCGCCAACATAATTCCAAAGGAAATCACTCAGCATCATGTTGGTGCTGAGAGTGTCTCCCTCCTGCAGGATTTCCTCTACGCTGCTGCTCATAGTCCACTTTGGTTGCTGCGTTCCCTCCACCCCACGTGTCGAGTTGCAGCGTCGGAACCATCACAAGAGCCGCTGCAAGGCGCCATCACAACACCCGTGCGGTGAAGCATCCCACTCGCACCGCCCAACTGCGGCCTGCAGGTGCCGCTGGCTCCAAAGGACACTCGCGGCTGTTTCGTCCCGCAGTCCCAATGGCGTTGGGCGCGGCACTCGCACGGCAGGGCGGTCGATGCGCCACGCAGCCGCACTGCAACGCCTGTCGGTGAAGCAGTCGAGGCCCACCGCCCCCGCAGCAACACAACGTGCAATCGGCAGAAACAACGCCACATTATCGTCCTTTTTTATTTTGTTTTATTCACGTTGTCGGTCTGCCCCATCACCGACACCAAAAATAAGTGCACGCCTTCACAAAAGGGAAGAAACAAAGAGAAAAGGAGGCACGATCCCACCGTCACGCAGCGGGCCAACACTCTCCTCCACGCACAGCCATTGCCGCGCAGGGGACCGCAGTCACATCGCAGAGTCAACACCACAACGTGCACCGCACCATCGTGCAGTGAACAATGGGCGAGACGCAGCCATGCATCGCCCCGCTCCATTTTACCGCCCCTCAGGTTTTGCGTGCCCACACATGGTAGCAAACAGAATCAGAGTGCACACAAACCCAATCAACCCCTCACTCGCTGAAGCACGTTAGTTCGCATGGAGTGACAACAGTTAAGGACAAAACCAGAAGTAGCAGGCTGCATGGAATTTCCCTGCCAACCCTGCGAAGAGACACAACAACTCTGTGGAGTCAAGGTGACAGCCCCTCGGTGTTGCCCGCGGTTCACATGGCAGGACAAATTCCACGCACGCATAGCTCCGGACACCTCGCTGTTTGAGTGCCCAACAGAACATGTGTAAAAAATGCCTGCGCGCAAGACGGAATTAAATACGTGAAAAAGTCGGCCTGCTCTCTCCGATGGCGTTGGCGAGCAGTCCCACACGATCCAATCAAAGTGGCACGCCGGACAGAATGGCGTCCGTCAATCAATAGAAAAATGCGACACTGAAAAGGAGCAGAGAAGAGTTGGCGCATGCGACTGCCAGTGACAACTGTGAGCAAACCCGCCAGCACCAACTGAGGTGCCGAGGAGCACGCTTGTGTAGAACTGGCCGTCAGGCAGAGAGGACAAATAAAACAAGAGGGCAGCAAACCCTCTCGTTCAATGTCTCCTGACCGCGACACCAGAATCAAAATACAATGGACGATAAGAGCGGCAACGCCTTCTCCAAAACATCTTGTCAAGAAGCCGCAGGACCTCAGGAAGGGAGGAAGGCAGCGGCGGCAGCCACAGCGGGGGAGGCAAAAAAACGGCTGGCAGGCACCTTCACGTCGACGCGCACACCACATCCGAGTGGGCTGGGAGCACAGATCGAACCGCTCGGAAACACACGCATCAAATCCGCAAAACAAAGTCGCGTTGAATCGACAGAAACCCCCCGCCCAAAACAAATTTAAAAAGTGGCGTTTTTCAAGGGGGAATCCGCTTTTCCGACGACGGCACGGACGCCTCGCAGGAATTTCCTGCAAATCTCCCTTCGCAGGTCCGCAAAAAAAACGCGGCGTAATAAAAAGAAAGGCGCAAAGACGCAAAAAAAATAATCCTCCCAACCGACCAGGTGGCAGGCCGCCCTCGCGCAATTAAAAAAACACAACTTCACTCCGGTCTGGTGGTGGTCGTCTCGCAACATTTTTTTTCTTCTCGTCGCAGTGCACATCCCCCTCCCACAAATCATTTGTTCGGGCCATGTTCCTGCGGCCAAACATCGCGCTGCTGGATCCCGCGGCACAGTCCTCGGCACAGAAGTGAGGGAAGGAAGAGGGACCGCAGGAGGTGCGAGCAAATCCGAATTCGGTGGCGGTCGCTGCAGTGAAGATTGACGTCCCACGCGGTGTCCCTTTTCTGGGTCCGGTCCTCACCGTGCCATGCTCTCAGCGTGCGGTGCGCCGGCCGCTCCGAACATCCACACGTGCATGCGTCTCACCGTCGCTACCAGCCCCGTTCGTTGGCTGCATCAGGGATGCCGCCATCCGGAGACGGGCATAAGGACGTTGCATCCAACAAAACCTTCAGAGGCACCCGGTGGGCCAACGACGACCGTCGCTGCGGGATGTGTGGCCCTTCCGCCGCTCACCTCGAATCGCACCTCTACGCCTCCTCGAGCAGCAGCAGCAGCAGCAGCAGCATAAATACACCGGTCCACTAGGGGCCGTCACCAGCCATTGCAGGAAGACCGCTGTGCCTCGGTGCTATGAAACCCGAATTGCATTGACGGGCCACTTCGGAAAATCCTGTCGCATCCTCCCCAATTATGCGGAAACACATCCGTCGTGCATGTGTCCACCGCAGCCAAATAATCCGGTCCAAATACCCTCCAAATCAAATTCCCCTTTCCCCAAGCCATTCCCTCATTCCATACGCCCTGACCCTCATCCGCACGTGCCCGCTCACACAAGCCGCCAAAGAATGGTGGTGGCTGCTCAACGCTCCGGAAAAACATGCCCAGCACGCACGCACAATAAATGGCATGCGCAAACGCACGAAACAACGGCGGAGAAGTGCACACCGAAAGGATGCGGCCCTCCACAGCAGTCGCAGCCCACCGCGTGCATCACACCCGCAGGAAGAGTGACTCGCGGTGCGCGCTCCCTCTCTCCTCCTTCCCTTCATGCCCACGGAGGAAGCAGCAGCCACCCGCAACCGCCAGCACACGCTACAAAAGAAGCATCAAAATCCACTGCAATGTGCATCTTGTGCGTGCATGTGGTTGTGTGTGCCTGCAGACACACGAGGCAAAGAAGTAAAAACAGGAGCAGAGCATGTGAAGGGACGCACAAAAACAGTACAGCAGAGGTGCACGGCAGAAATAAAGAGAAAAATGCTGCTCAAGCTCATGATATTGCACCGCAAACCAAGCAGCGGCAATTCATAAAAAAGTTATTAAAACCAAAAAAAAAAATTCATCTTCACCTTCCACACCTCACACATTGAAAAAAAAAAAATTGATAAAGAAAGAAAAAAAAAGAAAAAGAAATTTTGAAAAAAGTCCTCCTCTATTACGGCCACACACACAAAAAAAAAAAAAAAGAAAAAAAAAAACAAAAAAAGCACCCAACTACCATGCTGCTTCAGAAACTGTCTGCATATATTTTGTTCTAAAATAAAATTGAAAAGATGGTTACGTGTGTTTCAGCCGTCTGACCCTCCATGTGTGTCCGCACATCGTTTATATTTCATGGGGTCATCTGCGTGTTGCTGCTCCCCTCAGCCCTTTCATCGGCGTGTGAGTGCGGCCCGCAGAGCACAGTCACTCGTGTGTGCATGGGGGCTGAGAGAAGCACGCAGACATGACGGGAGTCGCGTCACTCCATCAGAAGTGTGAGCACAAAAAAAGAAAAACTCATCAGAGGGGAGAGAAATGCTCGCGAGGCCGACACCGAAGGGACTGCCAGTGCAAAAAAAACACACGCAGTGAGAAAGTCAAAGTGAGCAAGCAAAATTCCTTTTTAAAAGCGGCAGGGTGTGGCTGTGTGTGTGGCGCTGCGGGTGTCTGCCCGCCCTGACCGCAAGGAAAACAAAACAAGAGGGAAAGAAATGTGTGCTCCGCCCCTCAGCGCGCCGTTCGTCGCGGCCCCTCCTCATGCGTGCAGCAGGCGAGGCGCACAGGGCCGTCGTCATGAGCGTGTCGGTGGGTGTGCGAGTGGAGCAGTTGGGCGGGAAACACACGGCACCCCTCACAGGAAGAGTGCAGAAGAAACAATTTAAAAAGGGAGGAGTAGAAAAGAAGAAAACGTCCATAGTGGTTGCCCTAAAGCAACAAGCAAAAGAAGGGAAGTGATTTGCAAAAAAGAAAGCAAAAGCAAGGGAAAAAAAAAGAAAAGAAAAAATGGAACTAACAAAATCCATTGGGTAATGCCGGGATGCCGCTCAGTTGTTGCTCCACAGAATTTCGCAACTTTGCTCTTTCCAATTCATTTAGCAGAGAGCCGCAGTGCCCCACAGCCCCAGAAGCAGCAGCAACAGCACCCGAGACACACACCCATGCACGGTGCTGTCACCAATTAGATACATGGCTGCCAACTCGCCGTAATGCCCGTTCTCAAGCAAAATGTCAGTGTCTGAGGGTGTTGTTGCGTTGGACTCCGATGGGATCTCGGTTTCCCCAGGCGTGGTGTTTGTATTACCCGGTGCGGTTTCGACCGTCTGTGGCACCTCCTTGCCGTTTTCAGAAGAAACTTCGGCTCCGTCAGTCCGAGAGATGTTGTCGGTGTCCTCCGCGGATGTCGGTTCGACGTCACTCTTTGAAGGAGTGGGGCTGCTGTCTGAGCCCATTGTTCTCTCGGAATTTCCGTCGCCCGCCTCGAGGCTGAGGCTTTCCTCCGCGCCAGTGGTTCCGTTTCCAGTGGACCGCACGTCGTCATTTTCAGTGGCAAGCTCAGTGCTTTGTTGCACTTGGTGCTCACCGTCCACTGGTCCGGCGGCCGTTTCCATACTCAACGACGCACCCACTGGAGACGTTGTTTCGCCACTCCTGCCATTCGCTTCTCCCTCCTCCTCTGGCTGTTCTTTATCATTACTTTCAGCGGATCCTTCAACATCAGCAATCTCCGTTGATTTCGTGGACGGTAGTTCTCGTGGCTGCACCTCCGAATCCCGTTGCATCGATTTATTGTCTTCATTCAACGTGGCTTGCTGGGCCGTTTTGCCTTCGGAAAGCTGGAAATTGTTCTCTTGATGAGAATTCCCCGCGCTCTCCACTGCAATGGCGGGTTCGGAAACAGAGGATCCCGCGACAACCGTGAAAGAGGGCGCTGCAGGCACCGGATCATCGGCGCTTTCTTCCTCTTGTTTTTCAGGATCATCCTCATTCAATTTCTCATAGGTGGTGCTTTCTTCACTCCTTGACTCGGAAGCAACTGAGACGTCTGTGCTGGCCACCTGCCCTGTGGACTTTTCCTCAACACCCAGTGATGGAATAGTGACCTTGCTGGCATTGAGTTTATGCAGCTTATCACTTAAGAGTCTCTCATTGTACAGCATGACGTTGGTCACCGTCACATGGCCGCCCGTTGCACTTCGGTCCTTACTGTCCCCACCGATGTAGAAGTGTGAAATCCTGTGCGAGTTAAACAGATGGTCATTATATTCCGTGTTGTGGATTTCCTTTCCATCTACAAAGACACTCCATTCTTCATAATCCATTCGCAGTACCACCTGATATGTCTTGTTTGGCTCCCATTTAACAATATCAACAACATCCTCCCACTCATCAACATCCTCCACATTACCAGGATTCCCCGGTATGGCCAGCCACTTCTTGTCGTGGGTGTATGACAGACCAAAAAGGACCGTGCTGCTGGTGTCATTCATCCTCACACCCATCAAAGGAACGGTGCTGCCACTCTGCGGCACCTCGTGGATGGACACCGTCGCCACAAGAGTGAACTTGTTGTTCGCAAAGTAGTACGGCACAGTCTGCCCCATGTCGCCAACAGGCCACACCGCCCATGCTCCGGACCCTTTGAACGTCCATCCATTGGGAACCACTATCCTTTTTTCCGCCGGCCCATGGACAATGGCATTCACGCCGAGGTACTCGTCACTCCATGTGTTCTCAGAGATGTTACCGGACAAGAAGCCAACAAGCTCGTCAGTGGGAACAGGACCATTGCACATGCCCTTTCTGAGCGCGTCAACAGTGCCACTGGAACCGGAACTGCATTTCTCAAGACGCTGTCCAA